GCTGAGAGCTCGGTAGCAACTAGAAGAGGAACAATCACGCCAAAGCAGCACCTCATCTCAGCTAGTGCAAGAATATTTGGAACAAGGAAAAGGTTGTATGCCACTTTACAGACTTTCTACATTTTATAGACTTTTGCTTGAACTAAGTATTAAAGGACTGAGTATTAAAGACATACGTTTTTGCATGGCAACATCACCTTGCAAGTCCTAGATGGGTGGAGAGCAATAGCCTATTGTTGGGGAAGGTGTGTGCTGCAGTAAAGGATTTTGTCCAGATTTGCTATGCTGTGGTGTGTCCAGTCCTTGGAAAGCAAAGAACCTTCACACAGGGATGGACTCCATTGGACTTCACATTTTTATTTTTATTTATGACCTTTCCAACCCATTATGATGCTGGGTGGCATACACTATACAAAATTTAAAATAAAATAATCCATACAATTCAAACTACAACCACCACCACAAAGTCCAGAGAAGACCACCACAATCTCACAGATCAGACAACCCACAGGGATCCCAGCACCTACTGTAGCTCAGAATAAAAGAAAAAAATGTCTGAAGAGCTTGTCTACATAAGGTGGAGAGCACATACATTTCTGGGGGTGCCATTTCAGAATTTTGGGAGGGTTACAGATTACAAAGGGATTGTGGGATCCCTCTTATAGGTGTGTGGGTGGGATCAGGATTTTCCATTCATCTCTTGAAAAGTTTGAGGGCTGGAAAGAGAGGTTTTTAGCCTTGGTTAAACTATTTTAGGATTTCCACCATCCTCTCTGGCATGTCCACCAGCTTCTATGGACAGAAGGGGGGGTTGAGGGCACAAGAAGGAGATCTGCATCCACAGTTTGTCCACGTTTGATTTGCAGGGAGCCAACTTCATATCTGTACTGGACGGTGCTGATGTACGGACATAGAATCCACTCAATTTAGCTATATGCAATGTAACTGTGTGTGATGAATTCAGCCATCATTTGCAGAATTTGTCCTCCTCCACATCAATTTGGGGGGCATTGTTTCAATCCATATTTCCATTACTTCCATCCTGCCCCCAGTTTTTAATACTTTATAAAGCGGAAAGTAGCTTCTCTGCAGGATTTCCCCTTTTTATTTCTTTAAATTTTTAAAAATAACATTCATCTGGCAATCTAGTGCAGAGGTCAAACAAACAAGCCCCCCTCAAGCCCAGCTCCAGCTGTCAAATGCCTGTCGATCTGGGACAGCAGCATAAGAAATAAAGCTCTAAGGCCTGCTCTACTGAAACCACTGGGCTAAGCTACTTCCATGTTGTTTTCAGTTGCTACAAAGTACAGAAAACCTACTAAGGTTGATGGTATCCTTTTCTTTGTTCAAGAAAAAGCTGAATAATGATGCCTTTCCCCCTTGGAGAGAAACACAAGCAGATTGTCATGCTGAGTTTAGTCAGGGTGGGATTAAATACTCAGTTGCGATTCTTGGCTTTGGGATCACAGAACCCACCCTCTACTCCCTCATCCGAAAGATGGTGTAAAATGCATCAGTCTTTACATTTATAAGAGGAGGAAAAAAAAGAATTTCTGGCACATGCAAGGCCACACGCTGGTTAAATGGCATTAATTTAGAGATGTGAACAGGAGTTTCCAGCCAGGCAGCCCTGAAGACCTCTTGCTGACTCTGAACGGGGAAAGGCAAAGAAGATCGACTGAACACCACTAATAAATTCAAACTGATATGCAACCCACAGGGTGGGACATTAGTCTTCAAAGCTTCCTTTTATTTCAAAGCAACTTTCTTTCTCATGGCCTCTTGAGAAGACATGCAAGGGTGAGCTTCTGGTGCAGATGACTGAATGTTAATATGAGCTGGGGTTTAATAGAGGAGCCATGCCCAGGGGAATTTTATTATTGGCCTGGTGTGAAAGAGCTATATCATAAAAATAAGCTGTTCAACCTTCAGTTTAAACAAGAAAAGAAATGTGTTTATTTTTAATATACTGGGATTCATCAACAAAGTCAGCTTGATCAACCTGAACCTGGGTGTGTTTGCTTCTACTGGAGTCGAATCTCCAGTACTATAACATCATCTGTTGTAAAACTAACATTATAACAGAGCAGCAAACATTATCATCAGCACTGAATGGCCCTATTTCATTGTTATCATTACTATTACTATCAGCAGTAGTATTAGTATAGACATTAACGAAAAATGAAATTCAGCTAAGAACAGTTTCAAGTGAATTTGGAGAAGGAGGTGCGCAGAGGACATGTGTCCAAATTTTGAGCCCAAAAAGTTTCTGATCACTGCATCTCAAGGAGGAGGACACTTGGAAGAAGTGAAGAAAAGGGCAACCAAAATTATAAGGAGACTGGGATAAATCCCTTATCTCAAGAAGGAGCCAATATATCTAATAGGCTCCTTGACTTTGAGAAAAATGGAAAGATTAAAGATAGGTTCCTGTTGGACAGGAGGTTGGACAAGATGGTTTAAATGGCTAATTCCAACTCTTCTCATTCTGTGAGTATCGAACCTTTCTTCAACTGTACTGCAATGTGGTTCTTCAACTGCATTTGTCTCTTTTGGGACTCTGTATTAGCTTTTCTCACCTGCACTTTAGATAAATTTTGCATTATTGTGCTTTTAAGCAATCTTCCAAGCATAGGGATCTGCAGAAGAGGGCAATAGTGGGCGAATGGTGAAATGTGCATGGTGACATCTTCATGTTGTAATGTTGTGACTTACATACTTGTGTCATACATCAGTATACAAGCACATAATCATGGTATTTACATGATGCACGGGCTCATTTTAACATCACTTCAGATTGCTGCCTCCAAGTTTTAGTTAGTTTATTATTATTGTTTAGCCATTAGGCCATATCAAGATACAGAGTATAAAACATTAGGCATTATTAAGGCCATATATTAAAAATTGCTGCCTCCAAGGATTTTTATTAACTTTTTTTCTTATCAGTTTAGGCCAATTTTGAAGTCAAGAATAACTGCAGTGGACTTTCTTGGCATTACAAACTTCCTTGTAAGGTACCCAGCAATAAAAATTAATGTCTCATTTGAAGAAAACTCATATCCAGGTGACTTCATGGACCCAACTATGCTCTTTTCTGATTTTTTTTTTTTTTAACTTCCCAGACTAGCTACAATCCAAGTAAATTCTGAAAACAAACTCTTGGAACATATTAAATATTCTCAAAGCTAACCAAAGAACATTAAAAAAAACCTAATTAAAATAAAATCAAACATTATTTTATTAATGCTAATACTGGAAAATAGATGTAATACTCAATGGAACTGGACAATTTTCATCCAGTCTCCAACCTTCCCTTTTTAGAGAAGGTTGTTGAGAAGGTAGAGCTCCAGAGGGCCTTGAAAGACATGGATTATCTGACCTTTTCCAGCTGGATTTCAGGCCTGCTTACAGTACCAAGATGACATTGGTCACACTTGTTGGTTTGTTCTGATGGGACTCTGATGACGGATAGTGTATTCATTCTGGATTTTTTTGATCTCTCAGTGGCTTTCAATAACATTAGATGTGATATCCTTCTGGGCCAGCTCAGAGGCATGGTGTTAATGTGGTTCTCCTTTTTCCCAGGGCTGGTTCCAGTCAGTATTTTGGGGGGTGCAGCCCTAGACCCTGCTTTCCATTGTCATTGGGTGAGCTCATCTCGACACAGATTTTGGTATTCCAATTGTACATCTTTGCCCCATGCTGATCAGGTTTTTCCACCAAGGTTCTTTCCTAGTGTCTGGAGGCTTTGGGGGTCTGGATGGGGAAGAGCACACTTTGGTTCAACCTTGGCAAAGCCAAGTAGTGTGGGTTTTGAGGCCTCCCAGATTGGGAAATTTTCTTCTCCATATTCCCTCTATGATTATTATCTAATGGGACCAAGGAGACATACCTTCTCTGTGGCGGCACCTGTTCTAAAATTTCTCCTGTGATCTGGATAGCCCTAACTCTGTTGGCCTTCTGCAAAGCCTTAAAGAATTGGCTGTTCCCACAAGCCTTGGGCCAAGATGCTTGCTGAGCCTGGTTTGTATGATGGTTTGTTTGTTTTGGCGGGTTCTGAGTTAGACCTCAGCAGCATGATATTGTACTGGTTATTGTTGTTGGTTTTTTTAAATCCGCACTCAATCGTGACCAATTCTGCGGCGACTGCCTAGACGAGTCCCTGCAGTTTTCATGGCAAGGTGTTTCAGAAGTGATTTGGCATGGCCTCCTTCCTAGAGCAGAGCCCAGCTGGCGAGAGCAGGAGGCGGGGTTTCCGTTGCTTCGCGCCTTTTTTGGGCGTGCGCAGCTTCCGCGTTACTGGCAACTGCTCCTGTCTCCTTTGCAAGGCGCCGCCAGCATTTTTCCTCCCACCAGGGTGAGAGGACCCATTTATCTACTCGCAGTTGCTTTCGAGCTGCTGGGTTGGATGAGACAGGAGCTCACTCTGCCGCACAGAGCTGGGCTTGAACCGCTGAAGTGTCGACCATTTCTGGCCGGCAACTTCCAGTGTCATTAAGCCGCTGCACCACCACATCCCCTTATTATTGTTACTGTTATTTATTTGTATTTTTGTTGTTTCAAATTGTTGTTAGTTGCCCAGCGTCATGCAATGAGATCAGTGCCCACATAAGCCAATAAAACAATTATAAGAATAAAAATAATTTATAAAGAAATAAGGGAGAAACTAAATAATGAATTATACCAAAAATTCCTTCCTCATGGCTACATGTTATCTCCTTCATAGAGTCCTAAAAATATTTTTGGCATACTTCCTGAACTTGGCATTCCCCTTTACATGGGCTTAAGCCTAAAATAATGGAAATTAGTTACTGGAATGACCCTATCGTCCAACGTCCTGAACTGGAGAAAATTTCACTAGAAATAAACAATCAGTGACGAGCAACATTTTTCCAGTTACTTCTCTTGCCCTGTGGCTCAGTTTGTTTATATCACCCCATCATTTCACTCTCAGCACCTAATGATTTAAGCCTTCTAAACCCTGCCTTGTTTTCACTTACTGATCATAACAGAGACAGTGTTTGCATTGGGGTTGAAAGAGCAGCGTCCCTTCCCCGATTCACATTTGGAGTCGATCTTGAAAACTTGCTCCTGTAACAGAGAAAAAACATGCAAGTTCTTGCAAAGACTGAATGCGAATTTTAATGGGCCTGATTTGAATACCGCTCCATGAAAAGATGGCCAGCATTAAAATGAGTAACTGTAATTTTTCATTTGGCAGAAGCAACAAGAAGACTAGCAAGTTCATGACGGTGTATAGCAGTGCTTCAGAATGCTATCCTCATTATCCTGCATTTTCATTAATTTCCACAACTCACATCTTTTCTGAAATATTTCACTTGATTTAATGGCCCTTATCGAGATAATTAGTGATTTGTATACCACAGTTTAGTGATGCGGTGATAAGAACTGTAGATCATATGTCCAAATTCCCAACAGGAGGACTTTGGTTTCTTTAAGATCACAGCTGATTTGAAGTTTCAGCAACAAGTAGTCCTTGGCTAGGCTGTCCAGCAAGACCATGAGCTCACTATATTTTCCTTTTCTTCCTCCTCTTGTCACATTGATCACATACCAAAAAGTGGCAGAAAAAATGGAAATCATGAGAATATATTGTGGTGACGGTGATAATGGTGCCTAGTAATGATGTTGTTCAGAGTTGAATTAAGACATTTTGGTCATATGATAAAATGACCAGTTTTTGAAGGGCATTTATGTTATGTGAGAGTTTCAGTAGAGTTTCAAGAGTTTCACACTTACTTTATGGAGAGGTAAGTGAAATCCTACCACGAAGTAATCAACCAACACTATTAAGGAGAGGCTAGAGAATATTACCTCCTACCACTATTTCTCTCACACTCTCCCTACCACTATTTCTCTTTATATTCTCAGTGCAAAAAACACTGTTGCATATATGGCACTTATTCTTGCTTCTGTAGTCTGTGAATTAATGAACTACCCACAATTGTATAGGCGGACTAGGATGTAATCTTAAAGTACATATTCCACCTTGATTGCATGGCATATTAGTATGAATTTAAACTTTTGCTCCTCATTTTAATATTCTTTGTAGGTGTCCCACCTAGAACAGCTTTCAAATCTAGGTCCCTACAAAACTTTTGGTCTCCAATTCTCACCATTCCTTGGCTTGGTCTGTTGGAAATTGTAACAAAAATCATTATTCAGGGTGGGAAGGTTGCCTGGGACAAGTGTTTTTTATAGTCACAGTGCAAGAAATTTCTTCGTGAACTAGATACAAGGTCCCTCTACAATCTAGAATCCTGTTTCCATTAGTGAAACAGCATCTTTTGAAATACAGCTTTTGGGAGGCTCAAGAGCAGGAAAAAAAAGGAAATAGTGTTAATTAACCTGTTGTCACTATATGGCTATGCAGAAAGATGCTGTCTATGAACATGAAAGATCTGTTATGATCACAAATGACCAAATCCTTTAAAAAGCCATCTAACTTAGTAGCCATCTCTCCATCTCAGATAGGGATTATGACACATTCTTATTTTAAATTATAAGTCTGTCTTCAGCTTAGTTCTAAAATCTATCAAAACACTCAAAATGATTCATGCCTTCAAAAATGTGCACAAAATGGTGATAAGATCATTTCACTGGCAACATCAATAAACAAGTTAATTTACAACCACCCACAAAAAAGAGGCCATTAAAAGCACACCACACACTAATGGGCTGTTACATCCCCAATGAATAAAAGATGTCATGTGTTGAATGAGCAATGACTGTGTTAGCACCTGCTCGAATTGTCTGTAGTGGGCATTCCATAATAGAAATGCCACCAAAGTGCCGTTGTGTGATATCGATTAGGAAGAAACATTCAGGTTTAGCTTAGCTTTCAACAGTTTGATGCCAGCTGACATACAGAATTATGTGTTATGATCTCACCAGATCTTGTCTTTAAGAAAAGCAAAGAAAATTCTTTCTTTCATTCTTTCTCTCTATCCCCACCCACCAACCTCTTCCCAACAAAACCTGCCTTTGAAGAGAAAAAATAGAGTTATAAAGTAAGATGAGAAAAGCTGGCACAATTTCCCATCAATCTTGCCTCTGGAATGCTAAAAATAAATTCACTTGGGCCAATTACGATGTATAGATGCCACGGCTGCAAAGAAGAGGGACACTTTAAATCCTTAGACCTGAGACAGTTGGCTATTGTTGGCTTTTACAATAACAGCAATGAAAAGCTAAAGCTTAAAGTCAAGTGTCTTGCAGACTCCAGATGTCTGAGGCAGCAGTTTATTTGATCAATCGATTGTAGGCATGAGACAGCCCCGCTGAAGCATCACTTGTTTGCAGTCTCAGGACACCACAACTCTGCCTTATCTTGAAGTCTAGCCTGTTATTATAAATTAATGCATGCCATGTTTATGTCAACCCATCGGAGAAATTAAACATTTCATCCGGCTCTATGTGAGGTTCTGGAAGAATATTTGGAAAAATCTTTTTTTACATGGGCCAAGGATCTCCTCACATTTCTAGCCATTTATTCCAAGCTGTGGAAGGAAAAACCTGATGAATGTCATGAGCAGGGGAAAAAGAACCCTTCCGCTTACTTTGGCAAGTTTTGCAAAATAAGGAATGGATGAAAACATTTAAAGGGGAAGAAGAAGAAAGAGTGCATTCTTACTGACACTGTGAAAAGCAAGTTATGCTGGATGGCATTCTAGTGGTAAATAAAAAAAAATGGAAATCAAAACACTGGAAAGTAACTTTAAAGATAACATTAAGCAGGCAGTGTTCACCTGAATTCCTCTGCAATATTGACATATCAATTCTCCCAAGATTGACACACAGAGTAAGAGAAATCTGTTGGGCAAAACTATTATCTCAACCAGGCTGACCCAAGGGAAAATCTCATTTCTTATCTCAGTTGTTCCATGGCATGGGATGTGATCACATTTATTGTGCAATCCTTGTTTGGCTACCATCATGTACTTGAAAGAGAAGCTGTCACAAAATTAAAAATAGTGCTTAAATTTAAGCAAATCAGAGTTCCTGAAGAGACAGGTTTCGGGAATACTTTACTTTTTAGAAAGTAGGCTCCTTGCCTGGAAAATTTTTGTTTGCAGCAGTTTGGAACATCTCTAGGAACTGAACAAGAGGTAAGATGATTCAAAAACAGACTTACTTCCGATCTTCGTCCTCTGTTGAGGTATGCACATACAGGGCTAAATGCCCCACTCCCACAAACGTATAGGTGGGTGCGGTTGAACGTCTGTATCACCCGAACAAAATTGCCACAACCATGCTGCAGGGGGAAAAAAACAAGAACAATAAACCTGCACGTAAATGTGACATCACAATAGCCCACATTAACTTCTCATGGGTGATGGGATGGAAGAACCTTGAGTAGAGATAACTTCCTATTCCTGTAGTCTCTTCTATGATACAGAATTGATACAGCTAGATAAGTTGCTTTTATCACAGACAAGAAAGACATTGCATATATGAAGAAGATCTGCCTACTGCAGAACACAGGATTCAAGACCTACACAGATGTGTGTCCATGTATATATTGCTTCCAGGGTTTCAGTCCCAGGTTTCTCATCCCACCCTTTCAAGTCAACTGACTTTTGGCCAGTTTCAGCCCTTTCAAGTAACACATTAATACATTTTTGGAACTAGCAGGAAAAAAAGGCAATCCACTCTCTTTGATCTAAATTGGAGTACATTCTATCCAATGTAAAGAAGAGGAGCATCAAAGATGATTCACGCACTGACTTAGCATATTGTGGGGACCAAATCATCATGTTAAATCATCATCATCATCATCATCATCATCATCATGGCCTGCAAATAGAAGCAGAACAACTTTGGCAAAAGAAAGCAAAGACAGTACCAATACTAATAGGCACCTTAGGTGCAATCCCAAAACATCTGGAGTACCACTTGAACATCAACGATATTGACAAAATCACCATCAGTCAGTTGCAAAAGGCAGCTTTACTTTGTATAGCTTACATCCTGCGACGATACCTTTAACTCCATCAGACAACATCTGCCTATCCCAGGTGCTTGGGAAGGACTCAATAGGTGGATAAAAATGCCAAATCCAGTGTAAAGATCTGGCTGACTGTGCAACCAACCATAATAATAATAACTCCTCACCATACCATGTTCTGCAAACACAGTAATTGTGTTTTGCTATTTTAGGATTAAGCCTATTGTGCTAGTACAATGAAGTGGTATGAATAACTAAGGAGAGATCCTTTCTAGAACACCTAATGCAAATGATGTCAACCTACAGCAAAGGAATCATAGGCAGAATTGATAATAGGGGTCCATTACACTGCTTTATATGGTCCCTCACCCTCAGCACAGAATCAGGCCAAAACTAACCACATCTTTGTCCTTGTTTATAGTATATTGTACATGACACCAAGTGGCAGCCAACTTGGTTGATTGAATCCATCCATCCATTTTCTAGGTTTATACAACATACCCAAGTATAAACTAATTGACCTGGCACAACATACTCAGTTACAGCGCAGTTGGCTAATTCTAGCCAACTGTGGCCGATGCAAAAAAGCAAAACAGGTTCTGTCCAGGTTATATGTGGATGGGAGACTACAGAAAATTCCACGGCTCATGAAAGACTGAGAATTAAGTGGAAACCAGTATGACATCTGAGGTAGCAGCTGGAGAAGGATTGAGTAGGGCAATGGGTCTCTATTTCAGAGAACTGAGACAGCCTGAAAAAATGTTTATTAAGGAACCAAGTTACTATTACCTTGGTGTTATTTTCCATCTGATTTTGCTGCAGAATTAACGTATGCCTTGTGCCTGATTGAAGTGATGAATTAACCTCCGATGTACAATGACACTACGATTGGTGTCTTCAAGCATATAATTAGGGTGGAAAGAGCCTTATTTTTACTTCTCACATCATTTCTTTGTTACCCAATTGCTCACTCTTAGTAGGCTGTGATGATCGTGTTTTGTGAGTAGTTAGCTAGCTAGTTTTAATAACGGATTCCTTTTTAGGAAAAGACTGATGAGTTAATCTCTTTATTGATACACTTATGTCACCTCAACAATGAGCTCAACAGCATTAGGTCTGCTTGTGAACAACCTAAAGCAGGTGGGGTCTTTCCCAAAGCTCTAAATCTGACCTTCAAAAGGTTATCACAGTAAATCCTTGATTTAACAGACTAATGGGAGCAAAAGATGTCCTGAATGTCTGTTAATGGTCATATGGAATTTTATGTATGCATAAAACGGGGTTATGAGCTCACAAAATCACAAATAGATTTTGTCTGCTGTATCCAAAGCCACTGAAATCTAACAAATTGAAGGTTTACTGTAAGGCATATATCACTAATCCTTAATTTACACCCTTTAAATGACATGACTATCAGGTTTAGATGCTGTATCAGATTATAAAGCAACACTTAATCTTATTTTGTGAATGATTTTACCATGCTTTGTCCAGAATGAAGAATATTCTCAATATTAGATCAGATTATAAAGCAACACTTAATCTTATTTTGTGAATGATTTTACCATGCTTTGTCCAGAATGAAGAATATTCTCAATATTCTCACATACCTCCTTTAGCTATGGATGAGTAGGTTTCTTTCAACAGGATCATTGACTGATCCACTAGGTCACTTTGTATTGTATTCAATTCCTCAGAGTTTCCATTTACTTAGAAGATTTTATACAACAAATCCCAAAACTGAAGTGTGTATATTTTACTGTATATTTCAGTTCTTCTGCTTATTTGTATCTGATGGTTGTTCATCTTTCATATATAATATATATAATACACACACAGTCAGTGTACTGTAATTATGCAGTAAGATTCTTTTTTTTTGTGGGAGAAGAAAAACTTTCTAGAGCTTTAGTTCTCCACAGAAATTTCCCTATCCCATATCACTGATGATACAAATTTCCCTATGCAAATCAGGCTAATTTGAGCAGAGTCATTTTTCATTGGAAAAATTATGATAAATACTTTTCAATGCATTAGTAAAATACTGCACTGAATGAATTTTGGTATGAAGTCACAACAGAATCTTCTTTTGCATTGTTCTATCAACATACGATGCAGAAGATGGCGATAGCAAATCCTTCCGTATTATTGCCAATGAAACAGCATAGACATCTCGAAGGAGTCACCAGAACTTGAGCTCAACTTTTCTTTAAAAAAATCCATATATACATTCATTTCAGTGAATGTCTGCCTGCAGCTTTGTTAGATTTATATCAAGAAGCCCAAACCTACAATGGCAATGGAAGAAGTGCAGCGTAAGTGTAGCACAGCTGGCTAGTATCCCTTTTTTTTAACAGAATGAATTTGGGGCAACCTTAAGTCTTCCAAAAACTTAAACCAGCCATTTCATTCCTTAAAATCCCAAACCTTGTCCCACCCAATAAATCTTAGTTCTACCTACTTTTGGGCCATGACCCTTTGTCATTCCCATGAAGCCTGCTGAAGTCTTTTAAATGATGGAAGTTGAACACTCATATTCTAGAAGAAATAAGGCCTACTTGTTCAAAGCAGAGCTAGAAGTATGACACTCTCAAGAATGAGTAACTGGCTACTGAGATTTCCAGATTATGATGATATTGGTGTTGAGTAATGAATGGTGATGTTTCCTAGTTTGGAAACATGTAATGAAACGCCTGCAAGCAAACAAGCAAGGTGAGAGGGTACCAGGGACTCCACATTTCCAGATTAGACAGGCACAGAACTGAAGTTTCAGTTCAGTCTTTCTGGGCAAGTTCATACTGTTGACAGCTGGACATGAATTATCTTTTAGGTGGGGCAGAAGCTACGATTTGCCATGGCAATTCATGGCAATGGAACTGCACAAGGTGAAGGTGATCCCAATGGGACATTACCAGCAACCCTGATCTAGCTTGAACATGTTGTGGGATTTGTCTACAAAAATATATAGAGAGCAAATACCTTTTGTCACCAAGGCCAAAAAGTTGTATCTCATGGAAAAAAAAAAAAAAGTAGACTTTCTCCCCCATCCAATTAAAGTTTTAGAAAATTCCTCTCCACCCACACCCACTTGACATGTTCATTAGAAAACAGGTGGACCTTTTGGGGATTTATTGCTAAATCCAGTGGAGATCTATAGGCTTAATTTTTGTGGTCCAAGCAATTTATACAACTAATTCTTCTCTGGAATCTCCTGGCATTCTGTGGTGATAAAAGAAATAAAGAAAGTCTGTGCTGGCAGAACTTCTTATTTGGATGAATCTATCCAAGTGTCTAGAACTACCACTCCAATTTCCCTTCCTTTCTGCACATCAAGTAAACAGGTGTTGTAGTAAAACAAGAATAGTTTTAAGGAACAGAAGGCACATTATGCAGTGATAAATGATGGTTTTATATGTACATAAACTCCAAGACCATTAGTGGGTGCTGTGTACAAAGGCCAAACTGGGTCCTCAATAAGCATACATCTGGAAAAGAAACATCTGTGTGCAAAATGCACCAGCAGGCATTGCTAAGGGTCCAACATGAACAAAAGAATGGCAGGAGAGGAAAGAGAAAAAATCACATGTTTACATCTTCCACATGACTGGTTAAATGTTTCTTTCTGCTGCGGTGACAAGTAAGCTTTCACTATTGCTGGGGGAAGCTGTCTAGACATGTAGAAAAGGCAAAGATTTCACTGACTCTTGAATCAATAGCAAGAGTCAAGAAAGAGAAGAGGGATTTTTTTTAAAAGATGTATTTTAGTTATCCCCTTCCCATCCTGAAGGGGCAATGGGCATCAACATTGCCTTACTCTTGGTTGAAATTGTTGTTAAGGTTAGAGTAAACCCACAATTTAACAGACATTCAACTTTAACAGATACCCCTTCCACATCTTTTATTATGTTAAATTGAGGTTTTACTGGAGTAGTTAAATTTAACTGGCAAAATCCTGAGATTCTTTATAACAGCTGTGGGGTTCCTGTCACCCTCCAGATGTTTCTGAGCTACAACTCCCAGCAGTCTTCAGCCTTGTCTTGGGTTGCCTGGAGGTGCAGATCAGCCAAGGGTCATAAGATCCATAAGACAACTTAGTAACACCCTTGTCAAATAAAAATGTCAGAATGAATGTGTGCTCTGACCACATTCAGAGTCCAATCTCTGCTTGGTGCAGAAACGCAAATTAAAACATTTAAGGCATCTCAGTCTTTATATGAACACAACCATCATGTTCCTCACCCAGCGATTCTGCTGCTAAACACCTCCTCTTACCGCTTAAAAGTTTTCCTAATATTCAGCAATAATCTTCCTCCAACTCATCCAGATCTCAGCACTTTTAAAGATGAACAAATATTCTCCATAAACTAGGAGGGCTGAATATTTATTCCGCACCTACTGAAATGGTAAAGAATTTCCTGATAAGTTCACATTAGGACTGTTTCCATGTAACTGAAGTTCTGACAAATTTCAGGTAAAATTTAGAGCAAATATCAACCTCTGATGACTTTAGCATACAACAGGTTGGAATAAGTTTATAAATTACTGTACATATTAAAAAAGAGCCTAAAATTGTGGCCCACTGATGCTTACGAGAGAATGACTATGAATAACAACATGATAGCTATGCAATGCATTGCTACTTGTGTATAAGCAGAAATGAGGGTCTCTGAACTCAAGGGGATTGATTCACAGTTAAGCATACTCAGTCTAAGTCCTATATAAAATTAGCTCATCTAATGCTCTTACATATACAATGACTGGATTTATTGATATTGGCACACCAGTCAATCTGAATGAATATGCAATGAATATACACGCACACACACACACATACATCATAAGGATTAATATGAAACCATTCTATCTGTAATGTATTAGTGTTATATTCTCATCTGGTAATGGAAGAGACACTGCATTTTTTAAATTATTCTGATTTAATTAAACAGAAAGCATCTGTGTCCATTACTGGTGACACCATAATGATATAATCTATTAGGCTTTGAAGAGCCAATATTTTCTTCCTCTGATTTGATTAAAAAAAAGTTGAACTTGCAAAATGTACCTGATATATTTTGATATTATGTCATTTTTATTACAACTCCAGGACCAAAATAATTCTTATACTGTTAACACAGTATGGGCTGTGATCATAAGGCAAGCAATGAATGATCCCAGTTAAGTTCTTCCCAAGCCCATTTCTCAGTTTTATGCAAAAGTATGCTGAATGAAAGGCAGTGTGACAGTTCCCAATGATCTGTATCAGGTTTGAAGGTTCTGTGGTGTGGTGTGTTTGTTGATTCCAGTACAGTAGCCTTTCGAGCCTTGTGGCTGAAGAAGAGAAGACCTCAGAGCAAAGCTCTGATCCTCACTCTGAAGGATGAATTATGATGGATGGAAATGAGGAAAGGCTAAGAGGAAGAGGAGTCGAGAAAAAATTAAGAGTGGAACAAGGGACTTACAAGCACCTGTTAGTCACTGTTATCTCTGCGTGGTGGTGCTGGAGGAGAGAGGACCAAAAGCCCTTCCTTGCAACCTACCAGAGTGTAGCAAGCTGCAACATTTTAAGAGCAGTTTAAGAGAGGCTGATTTGACACAAGAAACATGCCTCTCTGGCTCTGGGAACTGCAGAATGAGAATTGCAGTTTAAATTGAAAGCCAGATTTCAGGAGTCAGACAATGACAAGCAAGCTTATCCTTCTCATTAAAATATTACTAGGGGTGGGTTTTCTGCTTATTTCCAATGAAAGAGTTTTAATTTATAACATTGTAAGATGTTGTTTTTACTTGATATATAGATTAAAATGTAATTATTCCAAGTAAGTGGTCCATTGATTCTTGCCTAATCTTATGGCCAACAAAATCATTGGTTTTATTCTTGGATGGGAGATGAGAAAATCCTTTTAGGGGAGACACAGTATTGCAAAGTTTGATAATCCCTGGTGTAACATAATACTGTTACATATTCAATTAAAATTAGCACAACTTTTTCCAATATTAGCAGAAAAAAGATTTGATATAATGACCATTGTGTGTGCATTTATGCATTGCCATTTAGATATAACAGACATATATTTCTGTGTTTTGATTATAGTTTTGCAAATGAGCGTGATTTTCTAATAGAAACCTTGCAACCAAATAAAGTCTCTGCACAGTATATGAAATTTATGATCCATAGTAAAATCATACTGAAAACCATTCTGACAGAGAATAACCTTGCTTCAAACAATATACCATAATCTTTTTATTTCAGTGTAGTGCATTCTGGGAAACTTGGACGCTGCAGTTTGTGAATCATGGATTCTGGCTTTACAAGTTGTGAGAACCCACAGAATTATGATCTATTAGTAAACTATGGTCAAGCAAAACACAGCTGACTACAATTTAGCATATTCCAAGATCCCAACAAGATTAAATATCTTTGAAATTTTTAGGACTAGAATAGTCTGATCTTTGTTACCATTTTTGAATGTCTTAACAGCTAAACTGTAATAAAAGGGACAGTGAATGCTTAGCACAGCTCTTTAAAAAAGAGAATTGCCCAATATCAGTCTGATTTTTCACCACCACATTTTCAGCCAGACTAGTGCACGCTCCCAATCGATACAGTAAAAATTATTATTCTTTTAATTTCTTATAGTGGTCTTTTCAAGAGGTGCCTGATACACAATATGTTAATCTCTTAACTCGACAAAAATGCAACCTGTCTGACTCAGAATTTCTTTGAGCTTCCCCCACCCCCCACAAGTAATTGGTTCAACAGTTGATTCTTCTATGTAATCCATGCTTTAACTCTAATAATACTCAGACCGCATTTACCTGCTCTATGAAAGTTTTAATCTTTTTCAGGCATCTGCTGAAAACATTGTTTTATTAATCTTTATGATCAGGCAGTAAGTGCTATTGGAATGCAGGAGAATTTTTTTTTCCATGCAAAAAGCAACATATACTGTCTGGGAGCCTATCCAAGCACTTACATTAGCATTAGCTCAGCCTGCCTTATATTCTTTAAAAGATATTGAAAGCAGGTCTTGCCGGTGGTATCCATCACTAACAATAAAAGCAACACAAGGATTTGCTTTTATTTTTATTTATTTTTTAAAAGCTTGGTTCTGAACATAAGCAACACGCTCAGCTTTCCAGACCTGGGTAGTGAGATCTAGACTCTATCTTGTTTGTTTCAAAATTTCACAGGATGACCCAGCTCAAAGAGCATGAAAAGAAAAATATGCTTTTTCCCTACTGATCTTGGCTATACCCAAGGTGCAAGCAGCCAAATATTTAATTAAAAGGAAAAATAAAAGACTTACTGTAGGATCTTTGCCAGCCATTTTGCACTCATCAACTTTGGTGGTTGATGCTGGCCAGAAAATCTGTGTGGAAAGAAAAAAAAATTTTTTTAATGGATTACATAATCTTTAATATAAACTCACAGGGGGTGATTAGTTTGAATTATCATAATGCCTTTGCATCATGCCTAAATGCATAAAGTCAATATTTTTGTACATCTAATTTGCTGGAGAAATTCTATCTGCAGTTTTTCTTATGAAGAAACCCAGTTAAGGGGCTAAACACTGCCTTTTGTTCCTCCAGTCTTAACCCCCAAAGAACCTGGCTCAGGACACTGCAGGTAATATCAGTTTGACCATCAGTATAGTAGAGATGTCCATGCAGGGTAAGTTGCATGCCCAAAGAATCAAACCAGCAGTTTAAGGGTGTTTTTGGACTTTTATGAGAGCCAGTTTGGTGTTGTGCTTAAAGGCTAGACACCAGGAGACCGTGAGTTCTAGTCCCACCTTGGACCAGTCCTTCACTAGGAAGAAAGCAAGAGCAAACCCCTTCCAAAATTCTTGCCAAGGAAACTGCAGGGGCTTGTCCAGACAATTGCCAGAAGTCAAGACTGGCTTGAAGGCACAAACTTGATCTCGTGTTGTTTCTGACATGGTTCTTGTGATCATGAGTGCTCTTGGAGTTAGTTGTGCAGGAGAAAGCAGATTTAGCCAGCAAACTGCGCTTGATCATTCCTTGCCAAAACTGTAACATTCTCTGCAGGACAGGGTCCACAAAGGTTCTTTTCTGGCTCCATCTCCTGGGGAAGCCTTGGGTCCATGTTAGCTATGGCATTGCCTACTCCAAATTGAGTCTCCTTGAAGCAAGATACAATGCTTTGTTCCCCTTCTTAAAGGATGGGGGGCTCAGAGGTAGGCTATTTTGAGGATGGCCCTATCATTCTGGAAACTTCCACAAGGTCCAGATGGCTCCCTCACCTTGAGTTTAGGAAGGTGGCAAAGATTTTATTTTATCAGCTTTGGGTGGGGTGGGGGTGGGGGGGTGGCTGAAGTGCCTGATACGCTGCGCTATTTTAATTATGCTGACATTTTCAATTTTTCACATCGGTGATATGCATGATGTTTTTATGTGAGTTGCCCACAGTCTGTGGAGCTGGACGGGATATAAATTATGCAAATAGGTAAATATAAAAGACAACGTCCAGCTTGATTTTGTCACATCTTGTCAGCCCTATGAGGTAGGCCAGGTCAGGAAACAGACAGAGCAAGGATTTCAGGCATACGGCTTTACTGTTGTCAGATATAATAACCCATAAACTCTTGAAAGTTTCTTTGTGTCTCCTTTTATACCAAACAGAAGTGTGTTGTGTGTGTTTTTTAAAATATTCATCCATTAAACCTTTCTATGCAAAACAGCCCCCCAGTTAAATTTAATTGTGTTAATTAATTAAGCAGAGCAAATCATTTAAAAATATCTAGAGAGGAATAAAATACAATTTTAAAACCCAGTGAAAAACTATCTCATTATAGCCCACCGACAGCCGGATGAAGGACCTCATTTGACTTCCTTAAGGAAGACATTATGTGGGACATAAGTAAGATATTAATAGTATTAAAATTGTGGTTTTTTTTTTTTAAAAAAAATGCTTCTATATTTTGTTGGCCACCTTGAGCATTTGACTGAATAAAAGTTGCCAATAGAAATTCAGATAACTAACTACTGGAAATTAAAATTTCTGTGGCAATTATCTAACAGACTGCCAATGTTCCATCCAGGAATGTCTGAAGGGTGTCGCTTTCATTAGAATGATGGAATCACACACAATTTGTTCAGCCCGCTGTTCATGTGTTTACAAGCCCAGCTCAAGGGTGCAAAAAGTCAAAATATTATAAAGAAGGCTGGTGTTAAAAAAACTTTGGGGGGGGGGCACAGGATGCCACAATTCAAATGCAGGGTGTCTCATAAGAAAATATGCTCTGTTAAACTTCTAACAGACTTTATCCCAAGGGGTAATTTCTAGACAAACATTACAGCCTCTGAAGATTCCACACCCAAATTTAGAATAATATACATTTCATTTTCAGCCATTTTCATTTTAGGCAAGTAATAAGAAAACATATTTTCATCTACTGGGAATGCAACAGTGTCCCTTGTGAACTAGATAAAGCTTCCACTGCCATCACTAGCTTTGTAGGCTTTAGTATAATAAACAAAACTCTAAAGGGTGATTATTGGCATTTTCATCATCCTTTTAATGGGTTTACTTTCTTCTCATTCATCAATTTAGGAATTCTTACACCAATCCTGTAGAATACATGGATATGCATCATTCTAATGCTACACCCTGATGTGTGCACATTGACTGAGGCTGAGAAATACTAACTGGGCAATCCTATCAGAAATGTATGTCTATCAGAAATGGGCCTGATTCCTAGCTAAGTGGTGATAGGACTTCCCAACACGTTGCTAGAGACTTAATAATTAAATGAGATTTTTCAAAGGGATTTTCTGTCATACACTTTTTTTTAAGAAGGGCACCAGAGCTTCATGTATATTAATCCTTTGTTCTTGTTGTTGCATTTGTATATGGTACCCTAGAGTGATTGCTGATCAAAGAAACTTCCAAAATGCAGGGTCAGAAGCACATCTTGAAGCTATATGAACTTCCTTTGTATCAAGGGTCTCCTAGTTAAATGAGAAACAACAAATGGGCACTGGGCCAAAGGAGTCCCCACCAAAAGCTTTGGGTGAAGCTCTCAGTTCCCCTTCAAAGTTGCATCAAGTTATTTTTTAATAAGGGTCAAATTATAAAATCCAATTATGTATATGAAACAAAATGAATTCAGTGCCATTCCTCTCTTTTCCCAATTCTTTGTCTTGTTTCTGTTCAATTTTTTTGACTATGTCTCTTGCATGTCTCCCAAAGGACACCTACGGCTCTCAGCCCCAGAACAGCCATGCAACCTTGACCTAATCCACTACTAATTGTTGCAACTGGCAGTGTCCTTACAGTGTGTGAAGCCAAGATTATTCCCATCAACTTGTTCCTTGATCCTTTTAACTATAGCTGCCAGAAGACAAACTTGGGACATTCCATTGCAAAACATAGTGTTACCCTTAAGCTACAGAATCCTAGCTATGTACTTAAATTGTCTGTAGTTTTACTCCTATCATGGGGGAAATAGTCTGATGCCTTGAACTTTCTTGGTGTAAGAGTTAGTTCCCAGACAGATGAAGATTCAGGAGACCATTATGTAAACAGCCAACTGCAAGTCTCCCTGTTATCAGGGAAGAAACTTGTCTGAACTTGTCTTTTCTGAAAGAAAATAAAAAAATTTGCACCATATGTGTGGACATACTGGTTAATGAGAAATAGTTCAGTTGCTGGAACTCTTGTAATCCCATCCTTTTCATTTCAATCAATCTTGCTAAAGAGAACTTTATGAGAATCATGCTTTGAAAAAAATCACTTAAAATTTTACATAGCAGCCAAAGGGCTTGGAACGTCCGATATGCCTTGATTGGAATGAAGACTTTGATGTGCTTCTTATATATCAACTGAGGAGTCCTTACATCAAGTCTGAATCAAAGCATACATGTAAGTAGAAACTTTTAAACACAGCTTATGATGCAGTTTAAGGTTTCCTAATAAAGTTTTATATGGATAGGTTGTAAATTTGCAAAGTTTGCTTCCTAACTTTACAGTGAATATCATCTGCCTTTTGCCAATTGCAAACATTTGACTTAGAATCCTACGACTGATGAAAGAAATTTTTTTTGGAGTGGGCAAGACTGATACTCTTTGATATTTAGTGTCATCATCATCAGTTTAGTCTTGAACTGCCTTATTGGGATGAATTTGGAATTTGGCTTTGATAGGAACCACGAGCCATTAAAGTTAAGAAAAAGCATGGTTCCAAAAAAGAGCAAATTCTCAATGGGATTCATACAGGCTAGCAAGGAAAAGTGAAATAGGATTAGAAGCCAGGCAAAAAAAGTAGCAATAAAACTCCAGTTGCTATGAACAATGAACACAGCGTAGTTCTATATGGCTATTGGACAGATTCCAGCTTCTAGCAGTCTGCTGATGAAATAAGCTACCATAAGTTGTACTTTCATTTACTAATCTGGAAAAGGTAGACAGACATTGTTCTCCTTCTGGTTCACTTTGTGAAGTTTCAGCAAATTTGTTCTGCTTCGAGGATCCCACATAAAATACATCTCAAATTTTCTGTAATCGTAAGCACTGTCAGTGTGAAAACATGTCTTTGAATGAGATGTTAAACAGGGATTAGCAAATGTGGTAAGAATTGGTGTGTGGTTGTTACAGCTCCCACGCTATTGCCTGGAGCAATTCATGTTAATGCAGAAGACTGACTGAATAGAAAAGTGAAACAGTATGCAATTGGAATATCACTCTTCTCTTTAGAAGACTCTGGAAACACCTTATAATTATTGGTATAACATTTAAAGAAAGGGATACCTATCCTATTCAAGTATTCAGTTTCATCTATCTCTGGAGACTTCTGAAGATATCTGATTTCCAAGCTCCCTGTCTGGTGCAACTGATAACCATAGTATCAGGTGTCACTCATTTTGGATTATGGTCTTAGGATGTTGAAAGTGTCAGTTGTGATAAATATGGTAATATCCAACAGGTCTTTTTTCTACCAGTTCAAGAAATCAGCGCCTTTTGCTATGTGTGGAGAACTTCCACTAGAAACCAAACTAAGGAAGAAAAAATGGAACGGCTAATTGTATCCTCTTAATTTGTGTTACAAGTTGATACAAATGTTTGTGTCACCACACATGGAAGGCAGGAAGAAAATATCTTACAGGAATCTATAGGGTTGCAATCTGCTTTTTACTTGTAGGATATGTGTCCCTCCTTTTGGGTTGTATGGTACTCATTGAAAGGGGCAATCCAAATGGATTGTGCCACAACTAGCTTGTAACTATGCCTGTATGAGAAGCCTTGATCCATCTTGGAGGCATTGCCTACATCTGGATCCCTGTAGCAATTTCAAGGTCATGCCTCAACTTGAAAAAATAAGGTTGCTTTGCATCTACTCAAGTCAAATCAAAGCAAACTGACTTGATACAACCTGCCCTTCGCTCTGCCAGAAATAGTCTATGCATGCACAGCACACACAAACAAGTCCCTTTTAACATCTGGATTGAAATGGCATAGTCAGGCTTCAGCAAAGGGGTGCTCCCTTCAAAAATCTGCATGCTTGACTTGTAACACTCCCTTCTTTTTTGGTTAGATATTTATCTTGTGCAATATTTTCCATTGACTGGGGCATCAGGGTAAATGATTGCTGAATCTTGCTACAATTGAAATAAAGATGTGATGGGCAGGATCTGAAATCTGAGGGAACCGCACCTCAGTTATGGTGGTGAGAAATGGGAAAGTTACTCCAGAAATCCATGAAACTGAAGGAATGAAACTGAGCCCTTTCCTCACATTGACAAAAGCCTCCCTCAAATCAATCTCATACATCATTGCTTTCTGCATCATTTTAACACAGCCTATCTCAAAAAGCTATACTAAATGTGAACTCCTATTCTGAGTTTAATTAAGTAAATAATGCTGCCATCTTCTGCTGAGAACATGCCAGTGACCTAAGCCAAATGAATACCTTTTGTTACAAGATGGGAAGCTGATTTGTACTGAGTTAAGGATTGGGTCTACTTAGTCCAATATTGTCAGCAGCAGCTCTTCATGATTTCAGAACAGGATTTCTCCAATCCTTCCTGAAAAGTCCACAGAGGCTCTGGAATGCATATTTTAAAGCCCATCCTTTTGAGAGGCCATGTTCTTTCTCCAGGGGTGCAACCCAGTCCAGCATAAATCAATGGAAGTAGTGGTCTCACTGATTTCCATGGAAAGTGGATTGCATGGGTTGCCCACAAGGCACCCAACACTGGATGGAAACTGTAGAGAGTAAGGAAGATGACACTGATGGAGATATGCAAAAGGGGACGAAGCATTTTTAAGTCCAGAATGAGATTACATTCGGAAGCTGCTCAGAGAGGCGCCACCCTAATTCACTGAACTATAAGGAGGAGGAGGAGGAGGTCCAGCACAATTTGACATGCAAGATTCTGTTCTTATAGCCAATCTCCATAAAAGTAGCTTTAGTCTTTGTACTTTAGTCAAAAGTAGCTGTGGAGTTGGCTTCCTGGTCTAGTCTACCTAGTGGGCTTGACAGAAATTAAAGTGACAAGCTCTCCATGACTAACCTAAGAGTTACTTATTGCAGCACAAGTTAGACACAACTAAAATAGATAGAAAGGGACCCCCCCACACACCATGCAGACATATATAAACATACCACATAGACACACTCACATCGCACACACCTGCACACCTGCAGAAATGCCTACTTTTCATTAAAAAACATGAAGAAGAAAAAGTTGGATTCTCTGAATGAAGGGGAGGTGAATGTATATTTTAAAGCAATATCTGTCAAATGGATTCACTGACCCCCACAAATGATAGACATCCAGATCCATGAGGTAGGAAGAAGCATTCAAGCAATGAACAACATTTTGTGCCAACTTTTTCTTTTTGTTAACTGCAACGGGTAGTCTGGAACAACAATCCACCTCCTTATCCTTTCAAACTCATGGCCCACCTGCCCATCCAAGAAATCCTCCATTGCAATAAAAATAAGTAATTTTAAAAAAAAAATCTTTCCAAACATTGTCAGCCATGTGCATGGATGTTCCATATGCTCCATCTGTCTCACTTTACAAGGAACAGGCTCTATTTTGAAAGGCATTTGAAGGATGCCTTTTTAAAATATTGTTCAGCTGCGAACACGTTCGGGAGCTTTGTTTCTGTAATGCCTCATACTTGCCAGATCACAAATGGTGATGAATGTGTTTGAGCTGAAATTCACCTATAAGTGCAGGCAGATTTACTGAGGGTTTAAATATTCTGTTAACATTAAAAAAAAATTTTTTTTTTACCCAAAGAAATGGGTCAGAGATGCTACTGTATTAGAGCATTTACTGATATGCTTTGCTTCAGAAGCTAAATAAATGTAGTACATGTCGAAGCCAAAAACTTTAGCAATGCTAATATTGAGTTCTCTGACAGGAATAAGAGGGCCTTAAGCACACAAAAATATCTCTGTTTCTATGTGGGAAATTCTGGTGGGCATTTGGTCTAAAACCTACACAGGTGAATAAAAATCAACAGGAAACTGGCTTAGAAAACACCAGGAGAATTCGTCAGTTTCGTCAGGCAGGGAGGGAGGGAGGGAGGGAGGAAGGAAAGTTCTCATACCAGAAGATTTTGAACCTGCATAGGGGTATACACTTTGCACCCCAGCTGACAACCATTTGATCCAAGATGTTTAGACACTCAAATCCCACCCTACTGGCTTTCCATTTAACTCCGATCCTTAGGTGATTTCTCAACTCCTTTTGTAAATTTGAAAGCTTTGGCCTGGTAAACATTTGTTGTCTGGCAGTAAAAGTGGTATATTGATTGAACATATTGTCTTGCTAATATTTTAAGCAACAACTGCTCAATGAAACATGGAAAATTCATACAGTCTGGTAAGGGGAGAATGTAACATATTGTTACCACTCCCTCATTCATCTATACTTTTTAAGTAGAAAAACTTCCATTCCCAACCCACATTGTGAACTTACGCTCAGTGGCTCCTGGCTTATATTATTGATATTCAAAGACAGAATGTGATCTTTGCTGCCAACATAGATCCGGTCTTGATCTTCATCCATCACTAATATCCTGTAGTCTAAGGGGTGATGGGAAAGAGAGTAAAATTGGGATGTCTTGGTTTCCTGTAGTTCTGTAAAAGAAAGAGAAATCTGAAATTAATTTGCCTTCCATGTGTGCTGAGTTTCATTAGAGGTATTTGTTACAGCTAAAAACCCAAGACTGTTATCCTGAAGAAAAGAAGTATGATCCCAATAAAAGTGAAAAGATTGAGCATGACCATCAGAATTTTAAGTAAAAATGAAATAATTTCTGTCAAAAATGACTGCCTTGCTTTTACACTTAAGTAAACCACTTTACCCATTAAGCATCCAAAATAGTTTTATCCAGTCATCCAAAACAACACTGTTATATTAATGGAAACTGTAATTTGCAACTGACCCTTTAAAAAATATGATACAACAAACTAATCAATGAAATTTTCACATGTTTTGACAGGCCAGAATCAATATTGAAAAAGTCACAGAAATATATTTCATTTAATGTTTCTAAGAATTGAATTAGCTAAGATCAATTAAGATTTATTTTGTTTTTCAATCAAGTCACAAATACTTTTTTCTTCCATTTGAATTAATTTCTGCAACTCTGCAATTTTAACTGCATTTTCTTAGAAAATTGCTTGACTCAAAAAAGGAAAGGAAAGGAAAGGAAAGGAAAGGAAAGGAAAGGAAAGGAAAGGAAAGGAAAGGAAAGGAAAGGAAAGGAAAGGAAAGGAAAGGAAAGGAAAGGAAAATCATTAAGCAACTCTTTGCCCCACAGCATTTCCCCTCTAGTTCTTTCAGAACCATAGTCTCATATTTAACTTAGCATAAGGCTAGCTAATTATAGCTTGGGGTTATCAACAGAATAATATTGATGAAAAAGTGAGAGACTAATGAAGCGAAAATGAAATAATTCTGTATGTCAGGGATTTTAATGGACACTGGTTGTAGGAGAAGGACAAGAAGGAAATCATAAGCACTAGTTATTACTGTAGATAAGTTAAGCATATACTATCACACCCCCACAACTGATACGCTGGTGCTGAATTTCAAAACAGGTGAGGGTCTGTCTAAATTCCTTTCCATGTGTACATCAATCTTGACCTTTATGAATTCCAATATGAACTGACATGATGGGTCTCTAACAGATCAGAGAAAGGGAATCTGGAGGGCTTCCGCTGGCATTTCCTGGGGGAGCTGGTGTCAAAAGAGGCAAGACTGTAGTCATGACAGTGTGACTGAAGCCCATTCCTTTTGGACATGCACATAGAAAGGAGTGGGGCCTGGATCACTCTGCTGTACAACCACCATCTTGCCTTTTCTGACACCCTGCCCCCTCCACCATGATTGCTGGTGCTACTGAACTACAGTTCCCAGTATCTTTCACCACTGATAATGCTTATAGGGTTTGCTAAAAGTTGTGTAATAACAACAACTGAAGGGCTATACATTCTGCACTCCTGCCCTAGATTAATGTGCATATTGGGTCTTAGTTACCAACACATTCCCAAATGTCTCATTGCAGTTTTCAATTCAAAACACACAAAGTGTTTAGAACGCACATATTGATGGATGAAATATAAATTGAAACATTTATATTGACAGATAATCCATGAACATACACATATTTATATTCTTTGTAATGCTTTTTTTGGTATGTGCTGGTTAATGTGAAATTATGAGTGCCGACAGGCAGCAATGATCTGGACTGAAATCTGATATTTGTCTATCTATAGTCTGCTGTTATGGGTGGGGGATTCATCCGGAGCTCTGAACACCTTTTTTGCCAGGAACAGCATTTTGCAAATACAATCTTGGAAGGTTGCGGTCCTTCCAAGACTGCCACCAAGAAATAACGTCTCAGCATCACTTGATAAAGTGTTAAGCCTTGTGGGGAGTTGCATAAATAAGCCTTTCCTATTCTTGCAAACCAACTGAATCAGGATATTTTAGTCTTCATTAACTGGTGTGAAAACACATAAGTCCTATGCTTTGACTTGCTACTATTCTTATCCTAACTCCGCACTCAAAGGATCAGCAGTCTGTTCTTCCACAAGAATTTTAAATAACTACAAAGCCAAAGTATCTGATTTTCGGTTCCAATCACTCATACATTTGATAGAAATAATAAATAACGGTCATACAGATTTTTTTTCTCTCTCTCTCTTATGGAACCTAGGTCTGAAACATTGGCCTTCTTCAAAGCAATTCAGAATCCCGTGCCTTAAAAATTTGGGAATGTACCAGGGAAAGCAGTGAGGTATGCTTGTCAAAGAAGCCACCAGAACATTAAACCTCTTAGCATTCTGCAAGTCATAATTTTGCATAGCAATGAAAGCAAAGCTCTCATCTTTCAGTAAATAGCTGCTGATCCTTATTCCATAAGAGTTCCCTTTGGTTTTTCTGTTAAAAAAAAAAGCAGCAAATGAATGCAGTCATTCCTTTCCTGGGGTGATTAACATGATAAGGACAATATTCACACCTTCAAAATCTAATCCATTTCTTTAGTTCTAAGAAAGGGCCAAAAGGTCCCGGTGTTTGCAGGTAGATTCTGGGTGCTATGGTTTATATAGATATTGTTGTTGTTTAGTCGTTAAGTCGTGTCCGACTCTTCGTGACCCCATGAACCATATTGCGCCAGGCCTTCCTGTCCTTCACTGCCTCCCT